ATTAGTCAGATAGAAAAATAAACTGTAGAGAGGGGCATTTTGCTAAATATATGCACCATATAACATTCATTATACATTTTACTCTTCTTCAATGTTTAATTTGTTTGAATAAATCCAAGTTTTTATGACAGCCACCATTATGTTTATATTTCAAACAAATTAATTGAAGTAGAAATATTATTATGTAATTGTAACTTTATTATTTTAAAAACTTCATTAAGTGTAATTTTAACAAATCAGTCAATTTTAACCTTCACTATAGTCATGTAGTACCAACTGACTCTCATATATATTTTACAGCATTAGTTGAGAGAGTTAAGGAAATTTGGTATGTACTGTACCTGATATATATCCAAAATAATCGACATCGAATCGAATCGGTAATCGAATCGAATCGCAAGCTTGTGAATGAGAATCGAATCGAATCGTGAAATTTGTGTCAAAACCCAGCCCTAATTATATCAGATTGTTTTAATTATTAGTAAAAATTCAGTAGTGACTACTTGGTCTTTTATAGTTGAATTTCATTTTGAATGAAATTTTGAATATAAACTTTTTTTTGTAATTGAACTATAACGTAGCCATTCTAATATTACATGCATATCATTTGCCTTTAAACTGTCGCTTCTGGCCAAAATACTAGTCATGCATAATAATAACTTACTCTACCTGTAATATTACATAGTAACTATCAGAATATTTAGTTTTAGTCAGTGAAAATAAAATAACTAGTCACTACTGTATTTTATTAAATATTTAAAAATAAATATTAGTGATATAAAAGTAGTTATTAGTTAAAGGAATAACATGAAAATAGCTTGCCACAAAACCCATATACCCATATGCCATTTAATGAGGTGGAGGGTCTTTTGATTTCTGTCTAGAAAAGAACTATTAATAAAGACTGACATATGAGAATGTCTCACACATCTCCAGAGGTTTCAGACATGTCTGGTGATTGGAAATATGTGGCTCCAAAGTCCATTTATTAGTGAAGTGACGTGTGGCCGAGTATGGTGACCCATACTCGGAATTTGTGTTCTGCATTTAACCCATCCAAGTGCACACACACAGTACACACACACCCGGAGCAGTGGGCAGCCGTGTGCTGCGGCGCCCAGGGAGCAGTTGGGGGTTTGGTACCTTGCTCAAGGGTCTCACCTCAGTCGTGGTATTGACGGTGGAAGAAAGCGCTGGTTATTAGAGGAAAACTATTTTAACTGCACTGGTTGTTTGCTGAATTAAACAGTTTGAAAATATATAACAGTAAAAGAAATGTAACATTTGGACACCCTTCCATTTGGTTCTTCCTTTTTTGTGTTAACGTTTTCACATTCCACATTGACTGTTTCTTTAGTCTGTTCAGCAAGTAAATAACTGCAACAAAGTGGGTGTGCATATTGTTTCTCATGGTTGTTCCTCAAATGTGCTGAATATCACACATGACAGATTTAGACTGAATGTGCACCTGCTGTCCTCGTGTTTTGGCATCAACCTGATTTATTTACTTCACAAGAGAACAGGAAAATTAGGGCAGATGGGAGAGAACTTAAAATGTGCCAAGGCATCAATAATCGAATAGTGAGCTTGCTGAAATGACAAGTTCTACCATCTGGTCCATAATGTACTACTTTTTGCTGTGATCTACAGATGAGAAGCGCATTCCACATTATTCAGTCAACCATAAAACTGACCCTGTATTTACTTTCTTAATCCAAGTTCCTGTGTTCATAATTGCATTGGCCTGCACACTGAATATCCATTTTCACTCAGACTTCGAGTGATGTCAAATTACGGAAGTAAAATGGGTTAAGAAAGTTGTTTAAAGGGGTCATATGATGCTTTTTTAAAGATCGGGTGTGGCAGAGTCTTAACTTTTATAAAGAATATCTCTTTGGTTTTGAGACTTTAGTCTTTGCAGCTTCAGGGGTCTTATCTATTCACGAACAGCTTGTAACACTCCAAAGAGAAAGGAAAACTTGAAATCGCATCATATGACCCCTTTAATGCTTATTTCAATCACTAAAAGAAATACAAACAGAAGCTTCCAGTATAGCATGCTTGAGATCACTGCTAACAGTTTAACCAAATGAAAACATCTTTTAATTCAGCTTTCATTTAAATCTTTATTGGACTAGGGTAAATGCTCTGAGAACATCTCAAATCTTATCTTCATTCACAAATACACTCTAGGGATGTGAGAGGAAGATGGTAAAGACAAACGCACATGAAGAAACAACATGCAGCAATCAGGCAAACATATATTGTAATTATTAAATTTATATTCAATTATTATAATAAAAATATTACATTTTTATTTCTTAAAAAATATAATGTATTTATTTTATATTTATATTTATTTTATATTTAAAACACATTGCATTTAATGGCTCTCTGTGCATAGTTAGGCTATGCCGCTTTAAGGTTTGTGGGCAGCCAAAGGAAACGGGAGACGAATCCCCTTTTGGCATCGTTGCTCAGCAGACATTGTCTCTCACTTCTGAACTTTGAAACAGAGGCACGTGAGGTTAGTTTGCAGAAATGTGTGGGCAGTCTTGATGTATAGTTGAGTCTTTATCCTCAAAGAAATGTCTCCTTTAAATGCAAATCTATGCTTTGATCAGAAGATACAGAATGCAGACTTTTTTCTTTATTTTTTTGTAGTGGTCTTTTAAAAACAAGGTAAAAAGCTAAACCTAACATACCAGTGAACAACAGACTGTCAAGGAAGTGAAATAAAAATGAAATTAATATGAAGTATCCACCTTATTTTTCAATGCGAAAGTAAGCCATTTTCTGTGAATAAACAGTAAAACTCTTTGCACTACAAACCAGTGTGTTCATAATAAAGATAGTACATTAAAATAATATGGTAAGACACACCGATTTGCAATATCAAGCAGCAAAACAAACTGTTTTGTAGCTGGAAGCGAATGACACCAGACGCCAGACCCATAAAATGTACAAATGGCCGTTCTTACGGGAAAAATAAGGTGGATAAATAAAAACACAAAAAAGAAAAATGTATAACTGCAGACCTGCTGAAAATGTCTAAATGTGTAAAGTATGAACAAAAGGACAATTTTCATGTAGGATTTATTAAACAGATCACCTCTCTATTCATACTGAAAATAGACTTCTTTATACTATTCTTGAAAATAATTGAGGAAATTCATCAAAGCCTTTAGCTGTTTTGTGCAAAGACTTTAGCTGTTTTGTCATACTCATACATCAAAAGTGAGGGCTTGTGACAGGGAAATACATCACTGCTTGAGGGAAAAAGTGTAAAGTAGGTTTTGTAAAACTATAATTGTATTACAAATCATACAAATAGACGTTACTTCCTCATTCACCCATTAAATAGTTAAGAGAAGTTAATTATTTTCAATCAGGTATTATCTTATGTCCTACTACAAGATTCTTCACATGCTCACGGCTAAAATAAGTAATTAACTGCCATTTATCTCTGAGGAATGTCTGATACCATGAATATAATGTTTTGAGTCACTATGCCAGATGTCCAAAAGCACAGAATTCTTAAGCTTACATAATAATGTAAACACAGTCAGTCTTGTGCTGAAAATATATTTTTGATCATAGAGCCAGAAATCGCTTCTTCAATACCAGTACAAATCCTTAGGTATTTCTGAGACAGGCACACCTGAAAAACACAAGATGATCACAAATAAATAATTTATCACCAAATAAACAAACCCTTCCTTTATGTACTGCAATTAAGTCTACATTCCAAATATGCATACTTCCCTACTCTACATTAGATGAAATAAGTATGTGAAAAGAATAGAATGTACCAATTCACAGCATTCATAAAACAGTAGACGAAAAGTACCCAAATGTACTTGGCTTAAAGGGATAAAACACCCAAAAATGAAAATTCTGTCATCATTTACTCACCCTCAAGTTGTTTCAAACCTGTATGAATGAATTTCTTCTACTTAACGCAAAAGAAGATATTTTGAAAAATGTGGGTAACTCATAGGCGGAGATAAGCCTTCCCCTGACCACGGGGACTTGGAGCAAAATGCCCCTGCACAAACAAATTAAATCTATTACGTCTGTTGCTAACAAAGTGAATATGAATAGACAGTGTCGATTTCGGCATTCAATTAAGATCTGCTCATGTTGCACTGTATTTCATTTTAGGCGTTTTTACAGTGTTGCGCATTTTAACCAATCACACACATATCTGTTGAGCCTAGGAATGCAGTGGCCAATCAGAAGCGTTCAGATGAGTCATCGTTCAAACTCATCAGTTTTGTTGAGTGTGCGCGCGTTCGCTGACTGAATTCCGGACTCTTGTGAATTCTCTCATTATAAACAACAAAGCGCAGATGTACATACAATGTAAGTAAGAGATTCATTTAACAGTGTATACAGCTTCAGTGATTATAACGACAGTTTTGTTTTTTTGAGTGCTTAAAATCGATGTTAGTGATAATGTCACTTTCTATATATAATTTATTCGCTGTTTGAATAACAGTGGAAAAGAAACGTTATATAATTATCAATTTCTAACGTTTTTATTAAATTGTAATCACGTTAAATACAAATTCAGTCCCATTAAACATTTTTTTAGCCTACATGACACCCATGTCTGGTTCTTGACTAAAAAGACGGGTTTTGATGTTTAATACATTTGGCTGCTTTTAGCCTTACCCTGGAGTTGGTTCACCCTCCGCCTATGGGTAACTAAACAGTTTTTGGTCCCCACTGACCATATAATTTTTTTCTCTATATTATAGAAATCAATGGGGACCAGCCACCCTTTTGGTTACCCACATTCTTCAAAATATATTATTTTATTTTCAACAAGAGAAAGAAACTCATACAGGTTTAAAATAACTTGAGGATGAGTAAACGATGGCAGAATGTTCAATTGTGGGTGAACTATGCCTTTAAATAGATGAATTCATACTATATAGAACATCATTTTTTGAACAGTCACAAAGTAATTAATGATTCAAAAGAAGCACCTAAGGTGCATTCCAATTTGTGTAATTTGCACTATTCTATGCCATTTTGTATTATAAATAGTGTGAGTATTTATTGCATTTATTTGAGTAGCCGACCATAGCATTATAATTACAATACCATAGGCTATAGCAATAATTACTTGCTGACTGTTCATTATTCCTTACTTAACAATTGATTTCCTGTGCACTTGCATTAGATTCATTTGTGAGCAAACCGTTAGCAATGGAATAAGTACCTGAATCTAGGCCGATCCTGCTTCCATCCTTAAAGGCCGTCCCAGTATTCCACTCTGGTCTGGTGTCTGATTTTGAGAAGGGCGAGATCATGATGCCCCCTGTTGGCCGATCCATTTGTAACAGGTTCAGGTAAGAGTTGGCACTGCTCTCAGCAGCTATGGGCTGTTGGTAGAGTATTTGAGGCAGTTCGAATGCTGTGCCCTGTCTGGATGGACATGGCCAGAGGGATGACGATGATGATGATAGTACTGAGGGATTCACAATAACTCCCTGGGATGGAGGTGTAGGTTCCATGGATGTCAATTGGGTCAGCTTTGAGGAACCGGAAGAGTGTGTGGACTTGGGCCATGTTAGGCCAGAAGAAGCCCATGATGATGATGGTACATCTGGGATAAGAAATGCATTAGACAGACAGATGGATAGATAGACAAACAGACAGATTAACGCACCAGATTTGGGAGTCCTATTGCTGTCCTTGGCTTTAGTACTGAGGTCTTTTGGTGTGGTTGCTTTATTCAGGGCACGGAAAAAGTGCTCATCCACTGCAGTGTTGATGTCGCCTTGATAGTATGTAAAGAGCTGAGGAGGATCTTTACAGTCCTCTGAGCGCTTTAACACTCTGTTCTCCATCATCCTGATTTAGGAATACAACATACAGTAGATGGATTATTTTACAAAACAGGTTCCATTTGGGTCCCCTATTTAAATGTGTAAACAAGATTTAACAATGAAATCTATCTAGCATTTTACATTGAAAAGCAATTCGTCACCTTGGAATTATAAGGTTCTATCTGCCATTTCTGTCAAAATTGAGTTATTCACATATTGTGACAGCTTTTGTACCTTTCTTATTCTTATTATATTAATGCATATTAATTGTCACCTTGGAATTATAAGGTTCTATCTGAAAGTTTTGTCAAAATTGAGTTATTCACATTTCCTTATTCTGTGACAACTTATTTACATTATGTGATTTTTTTAACTTGTGTACATTTTAGGACTTTTTATTTAGATAAACACTTTTCTACAAAGCATATGGAATGCAAAAACTTTGAAGCTCAACATCTCAAAACTGCTCAGAATGCAGATAGAACCTTATAATTCCAAGGTGACAAATTTACTACCCTATACGCTAAAATAAATAAAATAGGAAACACTGTCATTGCACCATTCTTTCAAGGAGTGAACTCTCTATAAGGACGTTAAAAAGTTGTAATTACTTTATCTTATGTATCTTACAACATAATACAATGATTCTGTATTGTTCCCCATATCACCATATGGAATGCAAAAACTTTGAAGCTCAACATCTCAAAACTGCTCAGAATGCAGATAGAACCTTATAATTCCAAGGTGACAAATTTACTACCCTATACGCTAAAATAAATAAAATAGGAAACACTGTCATTGCACCATTCTTTCAAGGAGTGAACTCTCTAAGGACGTTAAAAAGTTGTAATTAACACTTTATCTTATGTATCTTACAACATAATACAATGATTCTGTACAAGAAACTAAACAATTTTTTCAAGCATTTTGTAATTTCATTACCTTGAGTACAAGGATTGTCATGTTAAACTGTAAAAATATTGGTTTCCACAAAATATTAAGCAGCACAATTGTGTCCAATATTAATAACAGTAAGAAATGTTTCTTAAGCACCAAATCTGAGTATTAGAATGATTTCTGAAGGATCATGTGACACTGAAGATTCAAGAAAATGACTCACGGGAATAATCTATATTTTGAAATATATTACAATAGAAAACTCTTATTTTAAATTGTATTGTATACATTTCAAAATAGTTGTAGCCTTGGTGAGCATAGGAGACTTCTTTCAACGATATTAAACAAATCTTACCAACCTCAAATGTTTAAAAAGTAGTGTATATTACAGTTTATGAATGTAGCTTGAGACGGTACAATGCCATTTATTAATATTTAAACATTATTTATTTGATAGAATATTTAAACCTCAGCCATCAAAAATGCTTAAAAGAAAAAAAACTTATCCAACTGGTTAAAACTGGCTATACAAAATCCTTGAGGGGGAAAAACGAAATTTCATATAAATAAGCTCTTATTTAGAAATAAAGATGCATTTAAAAAAAAAACAGGTAAAAGCTTTTTTTTTTCTTTTTTTTTAATCCACACTTCTAAATGGGAACAAGTTATACAGTTCCTACTTACACTTTAAGCACTCCTTTCTCAAATTGAAACAGGACTTTAATTGCATTCACAAATAAATCAAAACACCAAACTGCTTACCGAACTGAATCCAGCCAACATTCAGCCACCGATCATACTAAAACAAAATGAATATGATACTAAGTGCAGGAGGTGCTCTTCTTTACATGTGCACTGAAAAATGCACCCGAGCGAGTTGAACAAGGTCTCTCAAACAGATAAAATCACAGCTGTCATTAGGCTTACATGTAACTACCCTTAAGGAAACTGCTTGTTTTTTTGTTCCCTAATAAACCAAAGATCTTGTTAGTGAGGGAAGCTACTAATAAACATCTTTTTCATGAAAGCAAGAAACAATGATGCGGTCACAAAATGTTTTTTTTTTTACTATAAAACTATTAACAGATGTTCAAATTGATTCAGACAATGACACACATTAGCATAAAATCACACAAATGACTATTTACAGTCAAATTTCCATTATTGTCCTTATTTTGATATGGTGAAACGCACAGACATGTCATGGGAATAAACAATTAAAAGGAAACGTATATTAGTATGAAGATGTTTTAGCAAGAGACATTAAACAAGTCCTACGCATCCTCATTATCACTTCCTGCTAAACTGCTATCGGTCGACGCTACTCCTCCTTCCTCTACCTCGTCATGCTCCTTCTCATCCTTCTCATCTTTCCCCTCTTGCGGTTCTGCAGTGCTTTCGTTTGTATGTTCCTCCTGTCGAGTCTGTTCTGCTGTTTCTTGTGTGCTGGAATTTTGTTGTTCAGCTGCTTTTGAAGAGTCTGCTTTAGCTTTGGCAGATGCACTCTCATCACTCAGGAAAGAGGACCAGGTTTTCAGTCTCTCTTCTCGTTCTCGTGAGGTTTCCTCAACCTGGGTGACCAGAACCAAAATGTGAGACGAAGAAAAACAAGCAGGAGAACAAATTATCAATGATTTTAGTTAATTTTGTTGTGTTTGTCACTATATAGTGGGTATAGAAAAGAATTACTCCCCTTTAAAATAATCACATTTTGTTGCTTTGCAGCCTGAAATGAAGATGGACACAGTTTTTGTTTTATCCAGCTGTATTTATGCAATATCCAAGTGAAAAATATAACCCCAACATGTCAGGGAAAAAAAAAAAAAAAAAATGACCCACTCTTCTTTGCAGAACTGCTCAAGTTCAGTTAAATTTGATGGTGACTGTTTGCGGACTGCAGTCTTCAAGTCATTCCACAGAATTTCAGTGGGGTTTAAGTCTGGGCTGTGATTAGGCCATGCAAGGACATTCATCTTTTTCTCCTTCAAACAAGAATTTGACAGTATTTTGCCCCATCTATTTCTCCTTCTATCCTGACAAGTGCTCCAGTCCCTGCTGCAGAGAAACACCCCCATCACAGGATATCACCACGTCCATAGTTTACTGTATAATGCTGTTATTTGGATGGTGAGCTGTATTGGATTTCTGCCAGACATATCATTTGGTGTTGAGGCCAAATAATTAAATCTTAGTCTCATCTGCCTCAGAATCGTCAAGGTGTGTTTTGGCAAAGCTCAGTCGTGACAGCATGTGGCCTTTCTTGAGGAGTGGCTTTTTTCTCGCAACCCTCCCATACAAGCCACATTTGTGGAGTATT